TTATAATCAATGTAATGAAACAAGTTATATGAATTGTTGAATGTGAAACTGATGATGTGCCCTGTAAACTTTCACTCAATCCACAATAAAAACCTTAAATAATAATAAAAAAAAAAATCAGAAAAAAAAATGTGTAAAGATCTGGAGTCAGAAAAACAAAAGGGGATAACACACTCAGCATTTCTAAAGCTGGGGGAACTGAAGAAAAAATTCAAGCCTCGACTTCCATTATTTAAGAATTTTCTGGGCAAATTACTGAATGATGCAGAAAGCATCAAGAGAAGATGAAAGGAATACACACAGTCACTATACACACAAAAGGAAATGGTTAATGTTCAACCATTTCAAGAGGTAGCATATAATCAAGAGCCAATGATACTGAAAGAAGAAGTCCAAAGTGCATTGAAGTAATTAGCAAAGAACAAGGCACCAGGAATTGATGGAATAAAAATTGAAATCTTTCAAGAAAGTGAGGGGGCACAGGAGGCACTCACTCATCTCTGCCAAGAAATTTGCAAGACAACTATCTGGCCAACTGATTGGAAAAGATCCATATTTCTGCTCATTCCAAAGAGAGGTGATCCAATGGAATGCGGAAATCATTGGGCAATATCTTTGATACCCCTTGTGAGTAAAGTTCTACTAAAGGCAATACAGAAAAATCTGCAAGCATACATTGACAGAGAACTTCCAGAGGTTTAAGCCGGATTCAGAAGAGGCCGTGGAACGAGAGATATCATTGCTGCTGTCTGATGGATCTTGGCTGAAAACAGAGAATACCAGAAAGATGTTTACCTGTGCTTTATTGACTACGCAAAGGCTTTCGATTGTGTGGATCAAGACAAGCTATGGACAACATTGCGAAGTATGAGTATTCCTGAACACTTCATTGTGCTTATGAGGAATCTGTACCTGGACCAAAAGCAGTTGTTCTAACAGAACATGGGAACACTGAATGGTTTACAATTAAGAAAGGTGTAAGACCGAGTTGTATTCTTTCACCATACTTATTCATCCTGAGAAGCTGGGTTATATGAAGAAAAACATGGCATCAGGATTGGAGGAAGACTCATTAACAACCTGTGATATGCAGATGATAACAACCTTGCTTGCTGAAAGTGAAGAGGACTTAAAATACTTACTGATGAAGATCGGTATGGATTGCATCTCCATGTAAAGAAAATAAAAATCCTCACCACTGGATCAATAAACAACATTCCTATGAACGGAGACAAGATTGAAGTCGTCAAGGACTTCATTCTTCTTGGATCAACTATCAACACTCAAGGAAGCAGCAGTCAAGAAATCAAACGACGTATTGCATTAGGCACATCTGCTGCACAAGAGCTTTTTAAAGTGTTGAAGAGCAAAGATGCCAGTTTGAGGACTAAGGTGCGCCTGACCCAAGCCATGGTATTTTCAATAACTTCATATGCATGTGAAAGCTGGACACTGATTAAGGAACACAGTAGGAGAATCGATACTTTGGAGTTATGGCGTTGGAGGAGAATATTGAAAGTGCCATGGGCTGCAAAAAGAACCAACAGATCTGTGTTGGAAGACGTGCAGCCAGAGTGCTCCTTGGAAGTCGGGATGGCCAAACTTTGTCATACTTCGGACATACTGTCAGCAGGGACCATTCGCTGGAGAAGGATATCATGTTTGGTAAGGTGGAGCATTTGAGAAAAAGAGAAAGACCCCCAGCGAGATGGATTGGCAAAGTAGCAGCAACAATGGGCTCAAGCGTGGCAACAATGGTGAGGTTGGCCCAGGACTGGGCAGTTTTTCGTTCTGTTGTGCATATGGTCGCCGAGTCAGTACCGACTCCATGACACCTAACAACAACAACAATGGAGAGATCCACATGGCAAGGAACTGAGGCCTCCAGCCAACAGTTGCAGCACATCGTCCAGCCTCATTGGAGTCCTGAGATGACTGAAACCCTATTAAAGTTCCTGAGCCAGGGCCACCCTGCTAAGATTTCTGGCCCTCAGAAATGGTTTGAGGTACTAAATGGTTGTTTGTTTAAGTTTTAAAAAAGTTGTCAGCTTTTTGGGATGTGATAATGCCACATCAAATGAGTTTTAGGAGGGTGATGAATATTAACATGATGTGTTGATAGGCCTGTGGAACAGCCAAATAAAGATGTCCAGGTAGACTGTTTGAAATATAACATCTAGAGTTCAGGACATTACTCAGGAGGTGTTGAATGATACGGTAAATTGTCTATAATGAAATGGGGCAGAGGGAAAAGGGCTCATGATGGTTAGGGAGCTAACAGGAAAATGAAATAGGGTGTGTTATCATCATGCTGATGAGTCTAGATATCCACCAGCAGGCTCTGTGTCATTTTACAGCCGCCCCTCCAGGTGGGCCTAGTTGGCCTTCCTCAGAAGCTGGGTCAGTGAGCGATCACCTAGGCCGCGGGAGGCTCAGCCCTGGTCTGACCGCTGGGTGGCACGGTGCGGCGCGAGCGCAGGAAAAGCCCGGGAAAGCTGGTGAGAGGGCTGCGCCTGCGCGGCAACCGACGGTCAGTTAGACACGGACAGCCGGGACTGCGAATGGAGGGATGGAGCTTCCCCAAGACGCTCACGGGGTTTCCACCTCGGCTTCTCACCGTAGTGCGTCACTCCGTATCCCATCCAAAACCCCTTTACTTCAGAGGAGCGCCAATACCATCATAGATGCCATCCCCAGCAGAGGGTCGATGTTTTCTAACCGCCAACCCCAGGAGCAAGGCAAGCTGATGCTACCCAAGAGCAAGGAGAAGGATAAAGGGGGCACCAAGCACCGGCTTCTGAAAGTGAGCAAAGAGGGGCGGTGAGCGGGTACAAGGGTCGTCCCCCTCTACCCTGACCACCTGGTTGTTAAGTGCTGTCAAGTCGGTTCGGACTCATAGCAACCCTGTATAGGGGTTCCGAAGAGCAGATGGTGAGTTTGAACCGCTGACCTTGAAAGCATGATAAACCTTTGCGGTCCAGTGCTTATCCTACAGCGCCACACCGCAGTCCACCCTGACCACCATCCAATTAGAGAAAGGACTTAAACGGGTCAATGAATGCAGACTGGTGGGAGACTGCCTTAAATTGGAGGCTGGTATAACCAAAAGAGAGTTTACTTGTGGGAACTTGGGCAATGATTTAACTTGTGGAGCGTACGTTTATTGTAAAGCAAAGCAATAATTCTTATTTCTGAGTATACGGGAGAAAAGATGAGGCTTTCTGCTTCTGTGAAGGGTCAATATGAGACAGAACCTACTCCATGGCACTTAACAACAACACCAATTTATGAGTATACGGTTGGCTTGAGAAAAAAAGAAAATAATGCCATTAGCCTTTGAGACAATTCCCAGACTAAATCTTTACAGGAGCAGCCAGCCTCATCTGTCCTCCATAGAGCAGCTGGCAGGTTTGATTATCAGTTCAATGCTTTTGGTTAGCAGTTCAATGCTTATCCAACAACGCCATGGTTGTTCCTTTAGGCAAGGAAAATAAAGGATTAAGTAATCCGTTTCAAGTTTAGTAATTTCATGTATTTGTGCTGTGAATATCAAGGTCTATGACCAAATCCCTTACTCTTCTTTCCGTGTAGAAGAGCTGGCCTGCAAGAACAGGTGAGGGCGACAGTGAAAGAATTTGGTAGTGCTGAAGGATGGAAGAAAACTTCTCCCTTCTTGACAATGTTTTCAACTGTCTTCAATGCCAGACTATGAACTTCTGACGTCAGTAACACTTCAACCTTGAAATTAGCATAGTGCCAGGCATATCATTATGTTAGGATGTCAGTACATGTTAAATAATTCATATAAAGGTTAGGAAGTAGGACTATGTAGGGCACTGGGTTTTCAATGAAAGCTGGCTAATTGAGGAGAGTGGACCCCAAAGTGAGTAGATGTACAGACTTTAGCTATCCTGGGAAGCTTTTCTACTCAAGATGGAGTCCCAGGGGACAGAACTGATAGGCATCGTGGAATTAACTGAAATCAAAATTCTCTGCATGCTCAGGAGAAATTCTAGGAGGTGTTAGAAGCTTTATGAAGCTAGTTTTTAGACAGAATTCTTTGCTCAAGGTTCTAAATAGAATTTTGGTGAACAGTTGTTTTTCTGATGTTGCTACCATTGAGGAGATCTCTGTTCAGATAAAATGATGCAGGTAAAATGAGGCAGGTGGTGGTATTTTTGTAAGTTTAAAAGATGAACCCTTTTAAGACCGAATTAGTTTCTACTTTTTACCTTTTGTTGAAACTGGGTTTTTTTTTCGGTAATAAAAGGTATTTTGAACAAAATGACAATTTTTTAAGGTAATAAGGATTTGGTACAATTAGCAGTACACATATGTCCCAAGGCATCTTTGGTGGGATGAAGCCCAGTTCTTCATATTCATGTAGTTGTACAGACTCCCGCCAGAAGGCCTGGACTGCAGAGCACAAGGTTGGTGGTTCAAGCCTATTAACTGCTCCATGGAAGAAAGCTGAGGCAGTCTGCTCCTGTAAAGATTTACAGCCTCAGAAACCCTATGCAGGGTTGTCCATTATGAGTCTAAATGGACTCAATGGCACAACAACCAGATGACAATGTGCATTAAACATGGAATGCTGGGTTCCCACTAAGTCCTAGGAGCAGAAAATATACATGAGCACAGTATGTACTCCTGGGTCACAAAATGGTTAATTGAGCATCAGCATGCTAAAGGTGCTATTTTATTTTTCAAATTATTGAAATGCTCATCACAAATATACTCTCAAAATAAAGGTTACCAAAACATTAGAAAGAATGATAAAACCAAACTAATTGGTATTAAATGGCTTATAACTTAGTTCCAAGACACAGTGACCCTATGGACAGAGTAGAATGGTCTCACAGAGTCTCTGAGGCTGTAACCTTTATAGAAGCAGACTGCCACTTGAGAGGAGCCGGCTTCATCTTCCTTCCATGGAGCTGCTGATCGGGTTGAACTGTTAAGCACAATGCTTACCATGTTTCACCACCAAGACTCCTGTAGAGAATAGTATGCTGTTGTTGTTGAGTGCCGTGGAGTTGATGCCGACCCACAGTGACCTGATTTATAATAAATCTTCACAATCGAGGTTATGCTTGACCTTAGTGCTGCTGCCACTGTGTCAGTCCATCTCATTGTGGGGTCTCTGTTTTTTCATTAATGCTCCACTTTACCAAGCATGATGTCCTTTTCCAGGGACTGGTCGTCCTGATAATATGTCTGAAGTATGAAAGATGAAGTCTGGCCATCCTGACTTCCAAGGAACACTCTGATTATACTTCTTCCAACACAGATCTATTTGTTCTTCTAGAAGTCCATGGTACACCATAACTCAAATGAATCAATTCTTCTATAGTCTTCCTTATTCATTGTTCAACTTTTACATGCATATGAGGTTATTGAAAATACCATGACTTGGGTCATGGGTACCATAGTCCTCAAACTGACAGTTTTGCTCAAAATTTAAAGAGGTTTTATGCAACAGATTTGCCTAATGCAATACATCATTTGATTTCTTGACTGCTGCCTCCATGAGTGTTGGTAGTGAATCCAAGCAAAATGAAGTCTTTGACAACTTCAATCTTGCCTCCATTTGGCATGTTATTTATTGGTCCATTTGAGAGGATTTTTGTTTTCTTTACATTTCAGTGTAACTGATATCACATCAGTAAGTATTTTAAGTCCTCTGTGCATCATCTGCATATCGCAGGTTGTCAATGAGTCGTCGTCCAATTCTAATGCCTCATTCTTCTTCCTATAATCCAGCTTCTAGGATTATTTGCTCAGCAGACTGATTGAATTGCTGTTGTTGCTGTTTAGTACCGTCGTTAGTTCCGACTGATACAAACTCATATAGGTTTTCTGAGGGTTAATAGTATAGTGAAAGAATAAAACCTTAGCACTTGTTGTTGTTATTGTTAGGTGCCATTGAGTTGATTCCAACTCATAGCTACCCAGTGCAGTGTACAACAGAACGAAGCACTGCCTGATTCTGTGTTATTCTCACAATCATTGCTCTATTTGAGTTCATTGTTATTGTCAATCTATCGCATTGATTTTCTTTTTCACTGACCCTCCACTTTACCAAGCATGATGTCCTTCTCCAGGGACTAGTCCCTTCTGATAATATGTTCTAAGTATGAGAGACAAAGTCTCATCATCCTAGCTTCTAAGGAACATTCTGATAATGTGTTGACAATCCATGTATGTTTTATATTCTTTTCCAACACCATAATTCAAAGCCATAAATCATTTTTTTGTTCATGGCAGTTCATGGTATATTTGATATTTTTGTTAACACCACAATTCAAAACTTATTTTTTGGTCTTCCTATTTATTGTCCAGTTTTCACATGTATATGAGCCAATTGAAATTACTATGGCTGGAATTAAACACACCATAATCCTCAAAATGACTTTGGTTTTTAGCACTTAAAAGAGGTCTTTGGAAGCATATGATCTGATTTTCAGAACACTCCATTTGATTTCTTGACTGCTGCCTCCATGAACGTTGATTGTGGGTCCAAGTGAAATGAAATCTTTGACAACTTCAGCCTTTCCTTCATTCATCATGGTAGTGTTTAATTAGTTTTTTTTTTTTTTTTTTTTTTTATGTTGAGATGTAATCCATACTGAAAGCTGTGGTCTTTGATCTTCAGTAAAAGTTTCAAGTCCTCTTTCAGCAAGCAAGGTTGTTTATTACACATGTTGTTGTTGTTGTTGTCAGGTGCCATCGAGTCGGAACCGACTCATAGCGACTCCATGCACAGCAGAACGAAACAATGTTCGATCCTGGGCCAA